TGTGACATTTGCTATTTGCTCCTTGACTTTGTTGAATTCATTGAATTGCAGTTGACTGTCAGAGGTGTATATTTCCATCGTATTGCTCACAGTTTTACTCAATAGAGAGATGATCTCTAGAGTCTTTTCTACTGATTTACTTATCTCCTTGAGATCAGCGCTGTGTTTCTCTTCAGATTTCTCTATCAGCTCAGTGTGTTTGGCTTCCATTAGCTCTATCTCTTGCCTAAAGGAGGCATGTTGAGATGCTAGGGCTGACTCAACCAGCCCTTGGACCTTCTTTGTCCAGGTTTCCGGTATCTCATCCGGAAGAGTAGGAGTGGAAGAGCTATGGAAGTGAAAATTGGTTACCTGATGAGGAGATGATGTCCTTTGAAAGAGTTTCAAAGGAAGAGATTCAGCAACTTCTTGCACATCTTCGTCATCAGTGATCTTTAGTGTCCTCTCAGATTCTCCTTCTGCTTCATCAAGTGCAAAATTTGATATGTATCTGGAGAGGGAGTCACTATCTTCAGCTTCATTTGGTTCTTCAAAAATGGCTATTGGAGTTTGAGAGACCTCCACTTCTGCCATCTGAGTTTCCTTCTCAGCTTTTCCAGAGTGTCTTTGGACTTCTACTGCTTTCTCCATGATTTCTGGAATAGCTGACTGTTCCGGAATTTCTGCTGACTTTTCCAGAATCTCAAGTTGTGTCAAATTGGGGATCTCACAAGGAGTTGTGAGGATCTCGAGTACTTGAGATTGGATCAGTCGCTGAAATTCTTCTTCTTCAGTTGCTTCTTGGTTCTGCTCTTGTGGGGGAGAGGCTGCCTTCTCTTGAACAGTTTCAGTCAGAACCATTTCAAACGCAGGTGAGGTTTCCGGAAAGATAGGGAAATCCTCAGCTGTTGTTTCCAAAACAGCTATTTCTTCAGAAGTGAGAGCCATTTGATCTTCTGTGGCTTTTGAGAAGACTGGCTTGAAGACTGCAGTGTCTTCATCATCTGCTTCACAGTCTGAAACTGGTGTGTTGGCCAGGTATTCCATATGTAGGTCTTCAGGGTTCTTTTGCCATACCCAGTAATCATTCAAAATATCTTCACAGTTGTGGTTGACTGGAATACCTAAGCACTTCTTGATAATCTTCTCATTCTTCAGCTATTGGTCCCAATCCAACAGTTGCTCTTCTGAATTTCCAACTTTCCAAGCTCTCCAATTATAGTAGAGCTACCAGAATTTGTTGTCAGCATCATCTGTATGAGGCTGAGATGAGGTTGGAAGGCTTTGGACTTGAGGAATTTCTTCTTCAAATTGTTGAGGGCTCCGGTTTTGAGTAGAGGTTTCCTCAGCAGTTTCCTTCTCCTTCAACTCATCCGGATTGACATTTTCAGATGTTGATGAAGAGTTGATCTTTCTCTTCTTCTTCCTTTGAAGTTCTCCATGGTCCGAGACTTCTTCTTCTTCTTCCAAACATACCAAGGCAAGGTTCTGTGGTGCTTCAATGGAGGGAGAGGGGGACACCACTTGCTTTCTTTTGGCAGTCTTTGCCATATGGATGAGTAGGACATTATCTAATGAGCTATTTTCTGCAGTGGCACTAACACTGGCTCTGTTTTCTCCTTTGGAGGATAAGTAGTATAGCCAGTATCTTTCTCCATACTTCTTTCCTTTAGAAGCAATACCCATAGACTCCAAAATATGTCCAAGGTATAGTCCTTGACAAAGATATTTCTGGTTGGGCTTTCCCAAATGCTTTGAGATGGAATTGAAAAAGTGTGCAGCCCAGTTTACCTTAGTTTT